GCTGCTGCAAGCCCCACCAGAGCAACAATTGGGAGCCATTACACCCCTCCCCTGCAGCCACCAAAGAATTTAGCTGATGAGCAAGAAGGTGAAGGGATTCAGCGCTAATAAAAAAAACAAACCAAGCCAACGTGCTGAGCCCTCAGCTCAAAGAAGGACCTGGAGGAGGGCCTCAAGGTTAGGTCCCTTGGGACAGGTCCTGGAGACAAACCACTAGCAATTAATTTCAGCTCTCCCAATTGTTCCATCTCAAGACAGCTCTGAATTTGCTTACGTTAGCTGAGTTCCCAGGAGGCAGGAACAGTGACTGAGCCTCATGTGGGGAGAAGATTTTTATCCCAGAAAAAAAAGCCCTCCCTTGGCACAAGATGGTTTCATCCCTTTCCTGGCCCACATTTCTGACAGAGATACAGATATCCTTCTTCCGACAGCTGCAGGCCCCTCGGACCCCTGCGCTGCCTGGACCGACCCTGGGTGGGTCTCGCGGTGCGGCCCGGGGGCTGCTGGCTAACACCCGCTGAAGAGCAGAGTCGGCACCTAGGGAAGGGATAAGCGGGGGAAGGCCAGACCCCAAGCGGGGAGTTGGAAACGACGCAAGGAGCCACTTGTTTCACATGAGAAACAAGGAGACGTGCCTAGAGGAGCTGTCGTTCCCCAGGAGGGCTGGGCTAGGCTTGCGAGCGGGGCGCCGGTCCCTTATACATGGGCAGGCGGGCACCGTTCCTCACTGGGTGCTGCGTCTGGCTCCAGGCAGGCGGTAGGGGACGGGCTGCGCATCGCCCTTGCTCCTTGCCCCGTGTTTTGCGGGATTTCTCACTTGCAGCCATTTCTCCAGCGTCTGAGGGAGTGGGGGTTGTTTCCTCTCTAAGCTTGCTGCAGATAACACAAGCACAGTCTGCTTCCCTGCATCCAGGGTCCAGAGCCTTGTTAAATGCAGATCCCCACAATTATAAATCCGCACACAGCACCAGTTGCGGTAGCGTTAGGTTAATCCAGCCTCCAGTGCTTTGCAGCCCTCTGCCCACAAGTCCCATGGGCATCAAGAGCCATGTTGCTAAGTAGCTGTTTGTCTCGCACAAAGAAAAAAAAGCTTCTGCAGCTGAAGCGATCTTTAAGTCTCTTTTACTTGCAGAAATTAGGGGGCAATAGATGACCCGTTTCCCTGGAAATAAACCTGGCATTTTCTCAGCTGCTGCCCAAGTGTCTGAGAGCTCAGGGTCCTGCGTACCATGCCCACCCCCCCGCCCCAAGAGAAACAGAGCTTAGCAGAGCTCCAGGAAAACACCAAGTGTCAGATAATTCAGAGGAAAGCAGCTCCCCACATCCCCCGTCCCTTTTCTGACAGCAGATATATTTACCTCTGAAGCGACAGAAGAGAAGAAGCGGTCAGCTCTCCTGCACCCTGCCCCAGAGACGGTATTTAGCTGCACGGGAACAGCGAGGAGGCAAGGAGGAGAGCTGCCGGGGTTCAAAGCACGCCTGGGGCTCGGGTCTCCTGCTTCGGCACTTACCAGGGAGCCGAGGGCCTGGCTGCAGCGAGGGGCTGCCTCCAGCAGCGCGAGGCTTCTACAGACACATCCCTACCAGAGGCGTTTGTACGGGCAAGAGAACAACTTAAACACAGGAGGCCCAGAGTCACCCTGGCAGGTACAGCAATGAGGGCAAAAGGAAACAGCAAAAACAGAGGAAAGGAAAGAAAAACAAGCCAGCAAAGGAAGGAGGGAGGGCCCTGGCACAGGACAGGAGGCAGGAGGGTTTAAGCACATTCAGCCAGGAGCAGTCCAGTCTGGAGAATCAATTACGGGAAGATAATTTGTCTGCTTGATTAAGCCTCCTTGGGGTATTGGCTTGTTGCTGGGGAGAGCAGCAGAAGGTACCTGCTCTGGTCAGAGCACGACCCGTGACTGATTACTGCAGTCCCTGCCTAGCAGCCGACGGGAGGGGAGGCTGACCGGGCAGAGGCAGACAGGCACATCGCTCTTCTCCTTCGGACACGTCCCCTCACTTATCACTGTCTGCGCGCAGGGCCGGCTCACCCAGAAGGGACCCCGGGAGCCATTCAGACCTGCCCCCGTTAAGAAGGGTGCTGCTGCGGACGCAGCCCAGCACCGGCACCTGGGTGCTGAGGCGCGGCGGAGGGAGCGGTGCTGGCTCAGACGTGCCCTCCAGTGGTCCCCACTCCAGCCTGGTTCCCACCCCAGGCTGGGAGCCCTGGGGCTTGCTCCTTGTCGCTTTACAACGGGAAGGTTAGAGGAGGCTTCGCGCAGCCGCGGGTGAGGCTTGGGGCCAGGGGGTCCCTATGTGTACGTCTCCTTTCCGCCCCCCTGACCTCCCACGGGATGCCAGCACTGGGAGGAGGATTTCCTGGCGCCACAGGCTGCATTCGTACGAAACAGGCACTGAAGTAATTGCAGGCTTGTTTCTAGGCTTGTTTATCCTGTATTCCCCCACACCCCCAACAAAGTCTTACCCTAAGCCAACAGAGGCCAGAGAAGGCTTCTGCCTCACCTCTTGTACCAGCCCCTGCTGGATTTCGGGCACCATTTCCCCCATGCAGTCAGGTTTACCCTCAAGATTCATTTCCCTCTGCTTAACCTGACCAATATGAATGCACACCTCCACTGTGCATTTGATGCTTGGCTCTGCTAGAACAAGTACTCCATATAAAACACCCAGATAAAACATCTAGCACAGCTGAAGGGATAACGTTGTGCCAGGGGAGACCCGAGACTCTCCCAGCTTTGAGGCCAGTCCCTGACAGATTTTGTAGAAGTCGAGCCCTCTTTTGTGGTAGATTGCGCTACACCACCGCCAGTGGTTGGTGACAAACTATACAGAAAAAAAAAAAAAAAAGCACACATTGTTTTTCCAGGAGAGCTGAAGAAATACAGCTCCCAGGCAGCCTGGGCTGGTGTCAAGCATCCCTTGGACTGGCAGGAACAGGGAGGCCAGCCCAGCGCCATCCGGACCGCAGCACGCACAGTTCACAACTCCTGCTGCTATTGCTGCAGCTAAGAACTGCACTGCTGCTACGAGCAATGTGGTTGATTAATTCTTTGCAGCCCTGTCTCTGGGGCCCCGATCCTGGGGAGAATCTTCAAGCGAAGGCCCTTTGGAGAACTCACTTGTGTGCTTTCAGACCAGTTATAATTCACCAGTACATCAGTACAGACAAGCACTGCTCCCCTTGCCCCTCTAGCGATCCACTGAGGAGTGGTCTGGGTCATGTAATGTAAACATTTAGTAAGTAATACCTAAGGCTCTTTTAAACCTTTAGGTCTGCATATAAGTTATTCCATGCTGTTATTACCTCTCTACCGTGGGAGCTCCGTAGCTCAAACGCATGCTTGCAGATACCACCTCAGCCTTGCACGGTGCATTCCCAGAGGAAGCACAAGGACACGCAGAAGTAGCCTGAACAAAGCGCTGCTAGACCCAGAGCAGGAATTTGTGGGCTTGAGAACCGACAGGGCAGGCCACAAGGTCTTTTGACCTCACGCTCCTACAAGGAAACGCAGCTACAGGTTTGCCAGTGTTGAATGTGTCCATACAGGGCTGTCGCCTGCACCGATGCGCATTTATTCACTTGTATTATCACATGCTCATAGCGGATTATTAAGGACCGCAGTTTCCAGGATGCCATGAACTGCATAGGTAAAGCAAAGCTACAGAGGCAGCGCCACGTCCTCTCCGCAGCCGCAGAAGGGCCTGGCAACACTAAGGCTCGTAGGGACGTTCTCACCTGCCGCGGGAGCTCCTGCGGTGCTGCAGCCTCCTCCACGGAAATTGCACGTCCCCATTGCTCTCGGGGACTGGCTGTGCCACGGGTGTGCAGGACGCTACAGAGAGCCAGATAGGAAGAGTGGGGACCTTCAAACTGGTGGTTAATTCTTAACCCCCCCGCTCCCCCCAAGCTCAGCAAGGCACTTCTAGACCCACTGAGCACATGATTAATGACTCTAGTGGGGGTCCTACTAGGGCTCCCATATCCTTCAAGCTAGATGTGTCTGAAAGGACAGCAAGACTAATACCATTTATGCTAAGGGATTAGGTTCTCATACGTTACACCAACACGCATATCTGCTCAATCTTGCAATACATCCCCACCAGCTCCTGTAGCCCCACAGCTCCCACTTCTCACAGCGCTCACACAAACCCACAGCCCATCACAAAACTCCACATCCCACTCCCTTTGCATACCCAGCAGCCCCGTAGCACAGCCTTGCCTGCTGCACAGCTTGCCTACCTCCTCCTCACTCCGCTTGCCAGGCAGACAGCAAAAGAAATGGCTGAAACCATCTCCCCAGCTTTCTTTTAGCACCCTTATGCCCTCCCCGCCTCCTCACAGCTGCAGCAGATCCCAGATGATCTGCTGACCACAGAGACCCAAATAGGCAGCCCCTGGTGCTGCTTACTGACTAAGTGCTGCTTGGGAAGGCTTTTAAAGGGACACGCAGTAAATCCACTCCTGGAGCGCAGTTTGCCTGCAGATTGTTTTCCTGATAAAATACCCATTTCTCAGCCCTTTAACACTGCTGTCCTCTGCAGCAGCCCTGCAGCGCAGTCTGTTTGCAGCAGACCTTGGCATTCACCTGGGGAGGGGGCACACCAACAGCCCCCACGCTGTGCAAACCAGTGCACTTGGACAGTTTGCTTGCCTTGGTCATTTTCGCTTTCCACGCACGAGCATCTGCACATGCACATACAGACAAACCCTTTGAAATGTGCTAGTGGAAGACACTTTAGCATCCTGTGTTTGGCCAGTTCTGGCAAAGTTTATCTGCAAGTGCTGAGACTATACCGGAAAGCCCCAGGACACAGCCTGCCCAGAGGCATGGTGCAAACCCTGGGCTTGCTTCCCAAATGAGCTCCGTTAACCCTTTGCTTAACCCATGTTCTTAATGAGTTCTCCCCTGTCCCAAGTGACCTGTCACTTGGGTGAGAGACGGATGAGAGTGGTCGCCTTAATGATCTCTCTCTCCCCCCCTTTCCATCATTAGCCTGAAGACCAGCCTGCAGAAGAAGGTGAGCCAGGACTCCATGGATTTGTCAGGGATCCCCCTGACCATGCGGGACGTCCACCGCATGGCCTACTACCTGCAGAATAACGGGGACCACCTCACTTCTGTGGACCTGAGCTTCACCGAGCTGAACGATGACATGGTGCGCCTGCTGCTGCCCTTCCTGTGGGCGCTACCCAAGCTCACGCACCTTTCCCTCAATGGCAACCGGCTGACGCGGGCGACCATGAGGGAGCTGACTGACACCATGAAGGACATGAACAAGTTCCCTTGCCTGGCCTGGGTTGATCTCGGCAACAACGTGGACGTCTCCTCCATGCCGCAGCCGTTGCTCGTGGGGCTGCGCAAGCGCCTCAGCCAGCAGACCACGCTGCCTACCATCTACGAGGCGCTCGACTGCGACTCAGAGATGGCCAGCGGGCACGAGGGCAGCCAGCCAGAGGACGAAGCAGCAGGAAGCACCCCGCCACGTGCTCGCTCTCAGCAGGGCTGCGAGAGGTGACTGGACAACAGGCTGGCACTGGCACACTGGAGCCGCCCCAAGGAGAAGTCTTGAGTACAAACATCAAGCAGAGGGCCAGCTTTACCGGCTTCCTTTGGCTCCTTTCTCTCGCCTTCCCTGACATCTCCCCCCCACCTTGCTGTGAGACAAAAGCCTGTCGTCCCCCCACAACATGCTCCGCTCCCTCCCCTCGCTGCCAAACCCATCGCCCACGTTCCAGAGAGGAACCGGAGACTTACAGTGAACCTGGTCCCCAGGCAGGGTCTCACTGGAAGACGGGAAAAGACCTGTCGGAGTCAAGAATATCCTCCAGCAGCCATTGGGTTGAGGGAAAGGGATGGGGGGAACCTAAAACAGAAACAGGCTTGTAGTTTACGTCCTTTCTTCCTTTTCCTATGCACCTTGGAAACCTTGGGACCTGCAGCCTTGAGTGTGAAAGGAGGTGCCCCAAGAGCCTAGCTGCTGTGGAGCTTAGCTGAAGGGCTCAGGGGCCAGAGCTGGAGCCCGGCAGTGTGTCTCCCTCTTGTGTCTGGCTCCTTTTGTTTTGTTTTTTTCCTATTGTGTGTTTTGTATTATCATCTGAACAAAGGGACTTGGTCAGAGACCATTGGATTGCATAGGCTGGGGCGGACACATGGCTTGGAACTGCAGCATCAGGATATTTGCTGTGTGACCGGGGTGAGAGGGAGGGGAAGGAGGTGTGTGTTGGTGGGAGCATGGGGGATGGGGGGAGTTGGGATGG